TGAATGGATTAGTCCGTTTATGGAATAGTGAATTAATGGTTTAGTGAGCTGTCACAGGAGGGGCACTGACAGTTTTATAAGGAGAGCAAGTGAACATGTTAAAGAGCTCTTGCCATCCTTGCCATGTGACACCATGTGTTGCTGTAGAGTCACCACCAAGAAGAAGGCCCTCACCAGATATGTCCCCCTCGACTGTGGACTTCCCAGCCTCCAAAACTATAAGAAATAAATTTTGTTTCTTTGTAAATTACCCACTTTCAGGTTATAAGCAACGAAAAACAAACTAATACACCCTCTCCCCACCTTCACCTTTTCCCTCTCTTCTCTCCTTCTATTCTCTCTCTTAAGACAATTGTTTTGGGTGCTACAGGGAAGGCAAGACCAGAGGGAGACTTTATGGGCTTTCTGGGGAGCCGTGTGAGGAATACTGTGTAGAGGAAAGAAATGGGGGAGGCCCAGGACCCACAGAGGAGTGAGGCTGCGGTGGGGGAGGGTATTTTATTTTATTATTATTATTTTTTAAATTTTTTTTTCCTTTTTGTCTTTTTTCGTGTCTGGTAATGGATCGCAACCCTCAGTGTCGCGCCCGTACTGGACCGGGACCGGCAACGGGATCGCAAACCTCGGTGCTGCGCCCGCAACTCACTCAGCCAGTGAGCGGGAACCGGTCTGTATGTGGAATCCGAACCCTCGGCGGGAGCACCGCCACACTCCCAAGCGGCGCACTGTAGCAGTGTACCACCGGGCTGGCCCTTACTTCTCTTTTTTAATGTAAAGTTTATATATAGGGAAATGCACAAACTATACCGTTATGTGAGTTTTGAGGAAATACATACACCTGTGCAACCCAAACCTCTATCAAGTTATGGAACAAAACATAATTCCAGAAAGTTCACTCTATACCCCTTTCTAGTCAGTTCACTACCCAGGGGCAGCCACTCTTGATTATTGGTTTCACCTATTCATGAAATTGAATCTTATAGTATGGACTCTTTTGTGTAAACCGTCTTTGACTAAGCATGTTTTTGTGATTCACCTATGTTGTTTCATGTATCAGTAGCTCATTCCTTTTGGTTACTGAGTAGTATTGCCTGAATACACCACAGTTTATTTAGGCATTCCATTGTTGAGGAACACCTGGGAGGTTTTAAACTGTTGGTTATTATAAATAAAACTGCATTTTATTATAAATAAAAAGGTTTGTACAAGTCTTCACACAGACATGTTTTCAATTTTCTTGATTATAGAGTAGGTATCTTTAGTTTTATCAGAAACTGCCAGATCTTTTGTCAACGTGCTTGCACCATTTCACACTCCCAGTGTGTGAAAGTTGCTCTGCATCCTTGTCAACATTTGGTTTTTTAGACTTTAAAATTTTGACCATTCTGGTGGACGTGTAAGGGTATCTCATTATGGTTTCAATTTGCATTTCATTGGTCAATAATGATATTGAACATTTTTCCATGTCCTTATTGTCTACATTTTATCCCATTCTGTGGCTTGACTTTTTGTTTTCTTAACAGTGGCTTTTGAAGACTAAACTTAAATTTTTGGTGAAATTTCAGTTAATCAATTTTTTTCTTTTGTAATTTGTATTTTTGTGTATTATCTAAGAAATCTTTACCTATCCAAGGTTACAAAGATTTTCTGCTATGTTTTCTTCTAGTAGTTTTATGATTTCAGCTTTTACATTTAGGTCTATGATCTATTTTGAGTTAATTTTTGTTTACAATGTGAGGTAATGATTAAAGTTCTTTTTTCTTTTATCATATTGATATGTAATTGTTCTAGTACCATTTGTTGAAAAGATTATCCTCTTCCTATTGACTTACTTTGGTAACTTTGTTGAAAATCAATTAACCATATATATATTTATGGACATTTATAGACTAAATTCTCTTCTGTTCACCTACAGATTTGTTCTCCAGTACACTACTGCATTTATTATTGTAGTTTTATAATAAGCCTTAAAATCCAGTAGTGAGAGTCCTCTCCTGAAAAGATTTTTAAGTGTTCTGTTGTTCTTAGTCCTTTATACTTCTACATAAATTTTAGCATGAATTTCACATTCTGTTTGGGATTGCATTAAATCTGTGTAATCCATGTGTGAGGAATTGCCAATTTAATAATCGTGAGCCTTCCAGTCATAAATATCTTGTATATCCCCATTTATTTAGGTCTTCTTTAGTTTCTCTTAGCAACATTTTGTACAGATGTCTTATAACATTTTTTCCAAACTATTTCATCTTTTGGGACGCTTTGAAAATAGAATCGTTTTCTTGTATCCTGCAGTCTTGCTAAATTGATTTATTAGTTCTTTTAGCTTTTTTTTGTACATTCCTTAAGATTTTCTATGTACGTGATTATGGCATCTTCAAACAAATACAGTTTCACTTCTTTTTCAATCTATTTGCCTTTTATTATTTTTTGTAGTTTGTTTCAGGGCTAGGTCTTCTAGTAAAATGTTGAATAAAAGCAGTGAAAATGGACATCCTAGCCTTGTTTCCGATTTTAAGGGGAAAGATTTAGTCTTCTACCATAAATTATAATATTAATTGTTATATATCTATAGATGTTCTTTGTCAGGTTGACTGAGCTCCTCACTGTTCCTAATTTGCCAGAAGTTTTTGTTAGGAGTGAGTATGGAAGATAGTCAAATACTTTTTTTCTCCATCTACTGACCTAATATGTATTCTGTCGATATAGTGAATAACATAA